CACCCTGCTCCCCTCTCCATACACAAGGCTGTATAAGGCTGCTCTGTTACTTTGTTGGTCAGCAGTAAGTTTTATAAAATCACCCAAGAAACACAACTCACGTTTTGAATGTTTTTACCTGCGATTCTGTTTTCACAGCAGCAGGTGAGCTGCACATTAATGAGGAGGTTCGTTAATGACGTTGCCCATTAAAACAGAGCTGTTGCTTTACCTGCTCCGTTGTTAAACATCCACCAGATAACGTCTCTCACTCTGTTGCTCTGTAAAATGCTAAAACAAGTCTCTGCCTGTTAATATACCGACGGCCTGCCCAAGTGAATCTATGTGTGTCAAAGGCTGAATAACCTTCCTGTGCAATAAAATAAATGCTTTTTAACACGTGGTTGCCATTTTGGAAAAGTTTGCAGGGAAATAAAATATATATTTTCACAAGAGATTAAACCTATCTAGAACATTGGAGAATTACACATAAAAGCTCTTTTAAGAACTTCCTTAAATGTTAAAAGACAACACCCAAAGGAGTGGATGTGGAATTACATGGAAAGGCCATATATGTGGCTGGATTCAAATATTCACTAAGGCAGTATATCATTTCTGCATCTACATCACAATATGCATATGTCATAGTCACAATGCACGGGCTGCAATGTACTGAGTCAAATCAGACCCACGTGGTAGAAAATGCAAGCCATTTGATAGGAAATGAGATTAAATGTGGCTTGGTTCTGTCTTTATGTTGATGAATAAGTCACAGTCATTACCACAGATTCAAAGCAACTGTGTAAAAAAACACACTACGGCAGAAGCCGGGATGCTCTGAAATACCATCATGCACTTTTTTTCTAAAGGTTTCCATGGCAGGACAACAGTAACCGTAAGAAAAGCAGGATTAATCAGTGAGTATTGACTAAATGAGATCGACTGGGTAGTGTCGTGTTGAATCAACCAGAAAATTGGAACGACTGCCCTAGTTTCTCTTAAATACTGCATGGAAGTTATTTCCACACGGTGCTACATGTGTCATACATGCAGGTATGTTTAAACAATGCCACAATGGGTAATGCAGTGTTGTGGGTGGGTCTGGCTTTTTGTGTTTGTTTTTCCTTCAGCCCTAATGTTTGCACATACTCGAGCCACCAGCAGAATGCAGGCAGGCGTGTGTGTGCGCGTTTTGAGAAGCGAACGAGGCTTTTGTTGGGCTGCTGGATGTACTTACCTCTACAGGGAGATGTTGTGGAGTCACAACCTATTTCCCTGAACAAATGTTCTATGAAACATTAACTCACCTACTAGTGTCCCTGTCCTCTCAACAACAGAAAATACTATCTGTGAGTCAGTTTACTGCGGCTGCAAAAGCGTCTGTCGTTCCGAGCAACTGCTAATTCTGTGTGCGTGCGTGTATGTGTGAGAGAGAAAAAACGGGCTCTGACACATTCAGGAAGCTCTTTGCCAGTGTTGTCATGCCCACACTGTCAAGTCAAGTCACGTTGATGAGGCGTCGGTCTGTCCTCCACTGCAGCTCCTCCGATCTTGTGTGTGTGTGTGTGCTGCAGTCACGGCCCTTCCTCTCTCTAATCACTGTGATTTTCAGTGCAAACACACATAATGCTGTGTGTTTGCCTCTTTGGTCTTTACCTCCCTCCACCCTGTCTTTCTCTTTCCCTGGCACACACACAAACCCCAGGTGTCTTCATGCTGCGTCTCTATGGCAGTGTCCCTCTATGCTTCTTCGTCTTTGCTGTTTGCAAGTACCTTTTTATTTCTAATCTCTTCTAATTATTTTCTCTCTTTTTTTTTGGTCATATTGTTCTTCCCACCATTTTTGTTTCTTTTTCTCCACTAATCCGTCCCACATTTGGCTCCATCCTACAGGCTACTTAACAGTCTGAATCTGTCCACTTGTGTTTGTAGCTCTCCTTCTTTATTGCATTTGTTTCATGTCTCACACGCCAGCAAAGATTGACTGGACTTCAAGAGATGAGTGTCAGGGACAAAGCGATACTCCTCATATAAATTGGGTTGACAACACACCATCATTCACAAATGTCTTCTTGTCCCTATTCTACAGGCTGTCAGTCTGACTGTTTATTTCTTAGTCCGTCATATTGGAGCTGATGGGTTAGAGCTCATCGTAATAGACAACGATGTAGCGAGCAGATCTGCACTGAGGGATGAGCTGTCTGTTATGAGCAGTCATTGCCTCTGGGGTTGCGCCAGATATTTGTAATTCCATCAAGTCCTTCCATAGTTTTTAGTAGTACTAATTAAATTGGTTTGAACCATTAAACTGAAGAGATGTCTTGACCACTATATACATTAGCAATGGGTATATTGGTTGCCAGGAAATATCTGTCACAGTCCAATCAAATATGTCATTGAAAGTCTTTGTAACATCACAAGCTGTAGCTTAACGTCCAAAACTTATACCTTTAAGGGAGCCAGTTGAGGTTTTAAGCTTAAATGCCATTCCTTTGTAAATCTAAGCATTTGTTTTATTTCTATATGCATAGATGGGGAAATGTGTGTTTCAGAGTTAGTGTTCATACAGTTCAAAATGAGTTTGACATATCTGATTATGCTAAACTAGTTACTTTATTAGGTCATTTAACAATATGTCATTAATGTTTTGTAATTTCAGATACGTTGTGTTATTTGTGTGAAATATCATTAAAAAACATCCCAGTGTACGACACTCTTGGAAGGGTGAGGCGAGGGCATTTTAATCTGCTATTACACCACTAGATGCCACTAAATCCCACACACAGGTTAGCTCAGATAGCAATGCAACAGTGATACATGACCGTTAGTGGGTTTAAATAATTAGTAACAACCAATCTCTACGTAAAAACTATTTATTTAATAATTAAGTGATGAATAAATCTGCACTTGGTTAACACTGAAGTTATAGTTTAAACTCACCCAGAGCTGGTGCAGTCGCCTCCAGCGCCATAAGATGGGAGTGGGGCAGTTCCTCTACAGCTCATTACCACCTCAGAGCCTCACTGCTGCAGCTGTCACCAAGAATGAGGACAACAAGACATATCATGACAGTATTTGACTTATGTACCTCCCAGGCTGTTTGGAGCACAAATATGCAGAGAGCAGAGCGGAAGGAGCCACTTTTACAGGTCTGGGCCTCAGAGTGACCTAAAAGCCTCGACCTCCATCCAGGAAGAGGAATAACACAAGAGAATAACAGACTGTAAGCCACCTCGTTTGTCTACAGCACAGTCAGACAAACCATTTACCTGGAACTCTCAGGGACAGGAGCTGATTATACTGCTGTTCCAAATAAACAACAACCTGAAAGTCATGTTAAGCGTTAGAGGTAGTTCTTCTGTAGAGATGTTCTGTCTGGGTTCAGCCTTTGAGGTTAGGATTAAAATCAAATAATAAAAGGTCCTAACGACATAGTTGGGGTGAGTGGTACTGTATGTGTGAATGAGTGAGGACCTTCTAATAAAAGCGATAACATGCATCTGTACAAGAGGCTGCTGCAGGCTAAGGCTGTCCGCTGGTGCTTCAGCAAACAGCAATAAAAAGAATCGGTCATGTGAAAGGAGCAGGTTCTCTTTATTAGGCCGAACATTTTCCTCTCATTCTTTGACTCTGTGTATATTTGTCTTTCACATACCCCAGCCCAAAATATTACTGTGCATGCCACCAGTCAAATGTTAGTTGGTTAAAGCTGCACAAGGCCACACTTTGGTGGCTCTTTGTTTTGTTAAGAGGAGATGATTGTTTGAAGTTTAAAAGACGTCATTATGGTGTAACTTTTCTTACATTTCTTATGGCCTGTTCTGTCTTTAAATGTGCAGTTGGTGTGAACTGGTGAGAAGAGTTTGTGAATTCTTGGACTTGGAGCATGTAGTTAGTCTAGTCTGGTTTTCAACTTAAGAACCAAAATGTGAGTTTGTCTGTGTCCTAGCTTCTGTCTCTCTACAGAGACCATTGAACTGTGTGTTAGTGACACATTTCACCAGAGGCTGTTCTTTAACTTCCCCTTTCACACAATTCCCAACAATTCAACACTTTTCTCCCTCTGTATCCTGTATGTTTTTGTATAGATCTTCCCAGCAGTGGCTATTTTGTGAATTCAACTCTAAAAGGGGGCTCTGCTTCAAGTGATCATCACGAGGAAGAGCAGGGGGGAGGGGGTGTGTGTGTTGGAAGGGCAGTAGTCATGACATAACAGCCAGGCAAGCTTGGCAGAAGTAGCCTGGAGGTGGGAGAGAAGCAGCCTGTCGACACACGTGCGATAACAAAGTCAGCAACAACAAGGAGGATCTGGAGTACCAGCAAGCACTAACTTCTGTGTCCAGCTGCAAAAAGCTGTGGCATGAGGGTCTCAAGGGAAACACAAATAACAATGTTGTATTTGAAACAGGAAGCAACAGGGTTTTAGAGAAACACAGAACTTCTTATAATAAAAGCTGAAACGTTACTCTTCCATCTGACTACCTTTTGTTACGTTACCTTTGTAGAAACAGAAATGTTGTTAATATTTCATAAATACAAGAAAGACATTTTCAGAAGAACATCAACAGAACCTGCAGTCTTTGGAGGGCTTTTATTTTGGAGACCTCTGCAATGCGTCTTGCATACGTACATCCGATCTGGGCCGCCAAGATCAAAATAGCAAACCAGGATGTTGTTCTACAGCTTGTGAGCTTTTGGGTTTAAAAATACTCCTATTACAGAAGAGATCCATTGCTTGAGGAAGGAAAATTAAAGTAGCATTGCAGTGAATACCACCCTAGTTTAGGTCAATGAAAACTCTGTTTCATGAATAAAAACACAAGAAAAGAAGATGACTGCAATATATAAATACACGGTGTAATGGACAGTGTTTTCTTCTGTCTCTCTCTGATTCCTCCTCTGTAACAGGATGAGACGGGGGCCTATGTGATTGACAGAGACCCTACCTACTTCGGTCCCATCCTCAACTACTTGCGGCACGGCAAACTGGTCTACAACAAGGAGCTGGCTGAAGAAGGTCTCATATGCTTTATCTACTCAGATGGGTCCTGTGTGCATGAGTTGTTGTTTTATTTGTTGGTGCAGGTGGAAAAAAGGAAATGCTACATACCTTTGTTTCTAGTTTGTGAAATGGAATTAGTAAATATTGTTATGGGGCAGTTCTGCATTCGTCAGGGTTTTAAAGATTGTGGAGTAGCAGAGAATACTAAACAGTTAGCTAAAAGTAATGGAAGAAGGAGTGTTAAGGGGGCTGCAGCGACCCCTAAAATCCCATCAGTTAAAAGACCAGTGTGTAGGCTTCAGTGGCATTCTAGCAGGGAAGTTGCAGATTAAAACCATTTTAATACAGCTCAGCCTTCCAAGCATGTAGGAGAAAGTACAATGGCTGAGAAACTCCAGAAAAACACATTATCTAGAGCCTGTGTTTGGTTAGTCCATTCTTGCAATACATCCTCCTAAATGTCAAACGCTGGACCTTTTAATAAAGAGGCCATTCAAACTCATGCAAAAACCATGAATGTCTTGCACCATTTAATATGACATCACTGTAGACTGACTTTCTCTCAGCACTCACAACTCTGATTGACTTAAGCTTCCCTGGCTATAAGTAGTAGATAAATGGTTGAAATGGCAAAAGGAATGTATAAATAGATGGAATTCAGTTGTATGAAAAACTACATCCATTTCTATATCAGTAATATTTAAATAATATCTGGTTAAAAATCCATTCACACACACACACACACACACATATATATTTATTGGTGGTGTTGATTGCACACATGAACTGAGTGGTGCCTTTCTTTTGTTTTAAGGTGTCCTCGAGGAGGCTGAGTTTTACAACATCACCCCACTGATCAAACTGATCAAGGAGAGGATTGTGGAGAGGGACTCCAAATCCACGCAGGTATACACAGACCTTGTCAAAGTGTTTTTATGAACGAATCTACTAAATACAGTATATAGTGTGTAAGTAGCTCCAGTGTAACACAGCAGTAATTTAATATTCTTAAAGCATATTGCAGTTTTTGCAACTAGCTGTTTTATTATGTACTGTACTACATATTTCAACCATTATGTGTAGCTGCAGTGCCTTTCAGTCATCTTTTCTTTGTTGGTGATTTCATCCTTCTGTGCTTCTCTAAAGAGAGTACATGCTGTACATCAGGCTTCCCTCTCCTTTCTTTTCTTTTCTTTTCTCAGGATGGTTGCACTTACGCTTACATAATCCCACTGCCCTCCCAAACATACACCCACTTTCCCTGTGTTCTACTGTATTTTACTGCTAATGTTGGCCTGGGGTGAAAAAATATGAAAATAGAAGTGCTGGATGTGTAGCTAGCCCACGACTACGTGATGTATTTCTACCTCCTCCACCGCCTCCATATCATGTTGCAAAGGTTTGGTCAGGGCAGATAAATATGTTTGCAAGAAGTGACCTAAGATCAGCTTTGTAACGGTTCAATGACCAAATGGCATCTGGTCATTGTGTGTCTGTGACGATGTTGTGAGACCTCGTGGATGTGTTGACCTGATTTTTTGGCCATTTTCAGTAATGCAATATAAATAAAATATAAAGTATACACTTTCTTTGTAGTTTAGTTCAGATTATAGTTGATCTTTTTTTTTTCAGTCATTAAAATTCAGTTTTTTACACATAACAGCACTGGTACAAAATATTTATCACATTCAACACTAATATTAATCTAAGGGCAGTACTAGAGTCATAGTAATGGTTTCATTATTGCTACATTATTTTTTTTTTCTCCCTTTAAAGACGATGGTACCTTCTGTTTCATCCATCTGCTATCTCCTAAACCCCCTCTTCTCTCCTTCCCCAGCAGGTGCCCCCCAAGCATGTCTACCGAGTGTTGCAGTGCCAAGAGGAGGAGCTGACCCAGATGGTCTCCACGATGTCGGACGGCTGGAAGTTTGAGCAGGTCAGCGTGCGCGCCTGCAGAAAGCCCCGCACTGGACTGCTCTGGACTGTGGGTTGGACTCACGCTGCTGCTGACCCTTCAATCTTGACCCTTGGCCTGACCCCTTGGCCCTGACCTGAGCCCTGCTATCAGCACTCCCAAAATGAGTTTAGGACTCCCAGATTAGTTAGCTCGATTTATTTACCTTAAGTAGGACTAATCTTGTGTGTCCCTACATGCTTTCACAGATAGTCCTGATCTGCTAATCTTCTCCATCGCACTTCTAAATACATAAAGACATCATGCTACCGCAGGCGTAGCAGCCTCTAATCTTCATTATCTTCAGCCTTTTCATGAAGGATTCAGACCTCAGATATGGCCCATATCCTGTGGTGGTGTTGGAGTGGCACCGGGTGCAGCCTGGGATAGTCACGGTTTTTGTAAGACGTTTGTCTACAGCTGTTAGACTTGAAAGTTATGTTGAAGAACCATTCAGTTTATCAAAGTCATAGACAATCAAATGTCCACTATGTGTTAAATAAGTCTACTACAGATCACAGACTTTGATACTTTTAATAACACAAATGCTGTGTTTACAATGTGATCAAATACATCACCACCTATGTAACTAACTAACTAACTGTTTTATGCGTCTGTTACAGATGCATCATGATTAGCATGTCTGAGCTAATGCTCATACATTGATATGACTACCAGCAAGGGACTCATACACTTCAAACATTTATTCTGATGAATGCACATTCTTGCCTTAATAATGTTCTCTTATTTTTACTTTCTTGGTAACAGATATTAGGACAGACTGTACTAGAGCTGAAACAATCAGTCGATTAATCATTAAGTCAATCAATAGAAAATTAATTCACTTCAGTTTTGATAATTGATTAATTGACAGTTATTTTTTTAAAGCAAAAAAAAAAAATCTCTGGTTTGAACTTTTCAAATGTCAATATTTGCCGTTTTGCTGTTTTCTAAACTGAATACCTGTGGGTTTGGTGGCTGAGAAAACAAGCAATTTAATGTCAACTTGGGCTCTGGGAAATTGTGATTCCTTTTAAAACTATTTTCTGACACTTGACAGACTGAAGGATTAATCGATTAACTGAGTTGCAGCCTACTAGACTTTAAACTGTGGCACACAAATGTTTAAATTGTTGTAGCTGCAGACCAGTGTTTACTCTCACACTATTGACTGTCTGTTAGAATAAAGCAACCCGCTGCAACATTGTTCCCAGTGTGAACACGCAGTACAAATAGGCACAACAGTATTGATCTTTTCAGTCACCATAATGTCAGTAATAGGGAAAAGTCCTCCTAAGTTGAGAGGCTTTAGTTCATTGATGCCCTCTCCAATAGTGACACTCAGACTTTCAACTCAGAACTTCATGGAGTCTTTATAGGTCAGCATAGCAATCCCTTCCCCACTGCTTTGGCACTAAGCTCCACTGCATGCTGCACAGCTATGATTTGCAGAGTTTCCTGCAGAAGCTTTGACCCACAGTTGTTTTGCTGTTGCCACACGTAAAAGATACTTCTTGTTGAGTGCGTAGCAGCAGGCTGCCCCCACCCCCACCACGCATGACAAGAATCTTTCCTCGCTGTAGTTTGGGATCTCGGCTCTCTCAGTTACTTTCTCTTTCCTGCTTTTTGTTTTCTCTGCTGTAATCTCTAATTCTTCCTGACACTCGCTTTGCTTCTCTGTCTCTGTCCCTCTCTCCTCTGTATATCTTTCTGTATCTGTGTCCCCGTCTTTTTCTAGATGGTGAACATCGGCTCGTCATACAGCTATGGAACAGAAGACCAGGCTGAGTTTCTGTGTGTCGTTTCCAAGGAGCTTCACACTCCTGGATCTGGACTCGGTACGGAGCAGAGCCACAAAACCAAGGTGAATCTTTTGTCTGTTTTTCTCACAAACACACAAATGTATGTTTTAGAGACTTTTAGGATCAAGCTGCCAGGCTGTGTCCATGTGTGGTCCTGTCCTTGTTTTGTATGTATGTTTTGTTGTGGCGTGTGTGAAAGAGAAGGGGGTTTCTCTCATTGAAGAGGAAGCGAGTGTGCTTTGATCCTGCACTCTCCACTAAAAGCTCCAAATGTCACTTGCCTCGAAATGTCATTCACAAAATCATTCACTCCATCATTCACACAGCTCTCCCTCTCCTTCCTGCTGTTATCGATCTCTCACTTTGTCTTCCTGTTTATCTCACACTGCATCAATCTCTTTTCTCCCTCTTTCACATGGATATATAGATATATATCTGTCTCTATATTTACCTTTCAGCTTCTCACTGTCCACTCACTGACACTCATTAGCGTGTTCATTCTTTTTGTCGTTTTCTGTCTTGTGTTTTTTTTTTTTTTTTTTTCTCTTTTGTGTTTTCCCCTCCGTCCTTCATGCTGAATGAAGCCGGCGGAGATGCAGGAGGAGGAAGCCGCGAAGGAGGAGGAGGAGGAGGAGGAGGAGGGAGGGAGAGATACCACACCAAATGAGTGGCTTAGAGAATGAGGGAGTCATGTTTGTTCATCTTTATTCCAAAGAGAGGCGGGAATGGGTGAGGAACTGTTGCGATAGATGTGCTAGTGGGTAGACATGGTAGATTTTAGTGTGTGTATATATGTGTGTGTGATGTCTACAGAGATCTGGGGTGTTTCATGGCACAGCATTGAGTATGACCTCTAAGTTCTTCCTCTGTTTCAGTGAACCCAGTGCTTAGTGAGAACAGTGTATATTAAACGTACTACAAGGAGTTCTTAACAGGTTATGAAACCGTCTCAGTTTAATACTGATGCCTCTATGTGACCTAGATAAACAAACAAGACTCTCAGCGATAGTTATTCTTAATGCACCACTGGGTCAGATTCCCCTTGAAATCAATCAAACAATGCAGCGGAAACACTACCGCTTTTGTCCACAGGGGTCGCCAGAATCAACAAAAAAAATTCTTGCTGAGGTTCTAAATATGACAAATGCAAACAGTGGTGAAAACACTTAAACGGTACACTGACATTTTCTGCAGCTCATATGAGGCTTTAACATTGCTTGTGTTTAACATGTGGCTACAAGAATCCTGGGAAATGTTTTCTGTGCCAGCAGAATAATTCTGTATAAGATCCAGTACTCTGCTTTTATTATGAGACGCCCACACACACAGAAGGGAGTAGCGTCGCCTTTTTCTTTTTTGCACCCAAAGTTGGCCCACTTAGCAGCATAGCTGATGACTGAGCTGAAGTGGGTGCACTTAAATTAATTATCTTGATATTGGGATGTTACAATACTCATTGAAGTATTTTAAAATAATTTAAAGTGTTATTTTAGACGTTGTGATCTAAAACACCATTTGATAGAACACTTGGCATGCTTGAGGACTTTTGCTAATTGACCGTTGGATGAAAGGGTTTTAATGACCTGCACCAGCTTGTATATGTGTGTGAACATGGACATGCTCAGTCTGGTCTATCAGTGACCCAACACGGCGTTACAGATATTGATCGAACGCTGTGTCTCTATGGGCTCTCATTACCAATGCTGTGACATAAAATATCTCTGACCTTTCAGTGCAGCAGTAGTGTTAGATTCCTTCCCAGTCTGTGTACATATTGTATATCTCAATGTAGAGTCACACACAATTACACCCAACACATAATGGACACATATAAAGACATTCAGACAAACTAAATGAAGTAAATGTTACAAGGGCACACATTTTTAAGACATGTTTTTGTTGTTGTTTCCAGCCATTATGCATGTCAGTAAAGTCATTTGCTCTCATTCTCTCACCATTTTCATCATCATCACCAACATCAAAGCCAAATCTTAACCTAGATTGTATTAAATGTGTATAGATTTAGATTGCTATGGATTTTGTAAAATCCTAATGTCTGTTTCTTTTATTTCACAGCTTTTCCAGATCCATGGGTCCCGGATGTAGAAATCACAAGAATTTAAGTTATTTTTTTTCTAGACTTATTATAACACTCTGTACATGGTGTGTGTGTGTGTGTGTGTGTGTGTGTGTGTGTGTGTGTGTGTGTGTGTGCGCGCGCACGCGCGCGCGCACG